GATACCTTTTCAAATCTTTCGTATCCGAGACAATTATTACAGAGAGCTAAAAATAAAGCGTTGAAAATTCACTCATCAGCGCAAAATGACACCTCAAAGGCCACTACAATTAGATCAATGAAAGATACAATTTCAGCTACCTCTGATAATATTTCGTTTGGTCGCATCTTTTTACCAAATAACCATTTGACCGAACGTATCTCTCATAATCTAAATGCATTAAAAATTAGAACTACTATATTACCTACTAGGACTATCCGTAGTTTATTAAATAGCACCAGCAGACAACATATTACATCCGATGCGTGCATCTATCAAATATCATGCAAAAATTGTGACCTAAAATATGTGGGTGAAACAGGTAGGTCCTTAAAATCTCGTGTTTTCGAACATAAACGAGATATTCGTCTCGGTAATTTTAACAATGCTTTTAGTTGTACACACAACTAAAGCAGATCATATTCGATTTCGATTCCGTGAAAGTATTAAAATATTTTCATAATAAAAATCTCAGGAGGATTTATGAAGCAGGTATAATATCCATCTCACGCACGGTGAATACTAGACCTGGTTTCTTTAATATTTCCCCTTTTTTTAGCGAGATTGATGCTCGACAAGCATACACATAAGAATTTTGGAACCTAATAGAATTCTTTTTCATTTTCTTTTTCTTTTTCATTTCAAAATAATCACAAACTTTTAGGAATACGTTATGAAAGCGTCGCCCATGTGACGACAGCGTGACCATGTTAGACGGAAGGCTGATCATTTTAAAAATTTTCAGTTATCTGTTCTGAATAAGACTTGTGTTTTTATGTCCATCGTATTTGTCATATTGAACTGAATTGTATTTTGATGAATATTGTCTTGAAAAGGTTTAATAAACCGAAACGTCAGACGTCGACATTTCTTTCATTTAACTACATTTAAGGATTTTTGTTTTTTTTCAAAATTTCTTCATATATATATATATATATATATATATATATATATATATATATATATATATATATATAATTAAATTGTATCCATTCGTTCTATAAATTGGATAAAATACGTTTGCACACACTGCAAACATCACATTGAGAAATGTTCGTCTACATGAGACATATGTGTTTAATGTGCATTAATACAATCGCGAAGTGGTTAAATGATAACGTTTATAATTGTAAGCATTCATATATATTCTAAAATGTACATTTGACAAAATAGGTGATCTTTTAGAAAATTTATATGCCCACAATGTAAGAAGATTGACATGTTTTTAATTCATGTATAATTTCAAATATTTTGATAAAATTAACAAAATGAAATAATAATGACATAATGTTTATCAAATATTACAGACACGTAGATTGATATTTCGGCTTTAGAATTAATCTGAAATATTCAAAATGAAATCTTTCATGTCTGGATTTTATCAGTAAGAGCGTATTTATTAAAAGAGCTGAATCGTTTACAAAAATAAAAAAGTAAAGAACTATAACATTTTATAATGAAAGAAAAAACGCAATACCTGTAAGGAAAATTTTCTTTGGTGAAATAATAAAGTAAAACTATAAGAAAATCAAGAAGAAAAGCAGTCATGCTTTTCAAATTTGAATGACGTATCTGAGATTTTATCAACGATCTTTTTAGAAATCTATACGAGTATGAGAATTAATGGAAGTTTTTTATCTTAATAAAATTTTACTTATAATTTGTATCGATGAAAAGTGTAACAGTTATATCAAAGTAGACGTAACATAATGAATAAGAAAAATAGTTCCAAAATGATTATGATCTAGTTTTGATATTTGTTAGGAATATTTTAAAAAAAGTATAATCGTTAAAATGGTTTTAGATTTGACATAATGGCGACTAAATGCGCAATGAATATTTTAAGTTTATTCAAAGATGAGATTTAGCCTGTATTACAATTTTAAAATTTTAGTTTTATATTTCATTTTGTAAAGAAATACACCCAATAAATTTTTCTTTGTACTCTTACTGAAATATACAACAAAAGACTAATAAAATGATGTTTAAATATAGACAAAGAAATTTATTTTACAATAGAGCTACATTTTATTTGAACTGAACAATTAGTATTATTTCGTCTCACTCAAAATCGAGATGTTGTTTATGCAAATGTTGACGCTAATCTTGACAAGCAGCAGATTATTTAGCTGACGGGCAAACAGAAAACAAGTAACGATTTCGAAAGAAATGTTCAGAACTGAGATTTATGTTAAATCATTTTTCAATTGGAGGGCAGCACTTTTTATTCATTGGCATATTCTCAAACTTAGAATAAAATGTATCTACAAAAATGGCGCAAAACTCTGAATTACATGTGGTGAAAAAAGGCGGTTAAAAATTATATTCGTCGAAATTACGTCGTTAAAAGAAAGAACTTAAATCCGAAGTCTGTTGAATGAAAGTGAAAGCTGAACTCAGCATCTAATTAGAGTGAATTAACATTACATTTGGTTGGAAGACAAATATGGAACACTCACAT